CAGAACAGACAGGTTTCCGTCCCTCCATAGTATATCATGGGTTATCCAAATTCAATATAAGATTTAATATATCCATGTTACATCAAAAAGGATTTCTTATACCTACTCCCCCCCGCCACGTCTTCCATGAAGAATGGCAGATACACAGATCTGACAAAGCAGAGTCCGCAATAGAGGTCAACCCGAAGAGGAATTTTTAAAAAAACAACTTCACTCTACTGAGGGGACCCTGCAAAAATGTCTGAATATAGCAAGGAGCAAGGTGAAGCTGAATGCTGGGGAGAAACTTCGACAACTCCCCAGCCAGACACTGACTTCAAAGACAGTGAAGTTGCCGGCAAAAATTCCACAAAGCCCTGGTGGTCTATAGGCGTAGGAAAGAGAGACAGCTGGAATGGAAGAAGCAAGGGAGTAATTCTCACCTAGGGTAACCATAAACCCGGGTAGAAATTGGAGCTGGAGGCCTGATCAGGAAGAATGGGTCTGATCAGGAAGAATGGGTCAAGGAACCACCGGCAGATGACCGACTGAAACGGTACATAAATCGCCTCGTGAAGGAAGGCCTGGAGGACTTCTATGTGAGGGATGGACCAGGTCACCAACATAGGAGAGCGAGGGAACTAGAAATTAAAAGAACCCAAGCCATCACCCCTGATCCAGCTGAGAATGATCAGGCAGTGGAACAAGCTGAAGGACCAGCAGCCATACCAGGAACCCGACCCTTGTCGCCCTACAGCAGGAGATTAACCAACCCAGAGACATACAACTGCAGAGAAAGCTCCCACCCTTGGGGGTAAAATTCGATGGGGACCCCCAGAAACTGGGATTTTTCCTGGCACAAGTCCTCACCTACATGCAAGAATACGGGCAGAATTTCCCAAGCCAGGGGGCCCGAGTGCGAGTTGTCACCCTGGCCCTAGAAAGGGCAGCAGCCAGATGGATGGTGTTGCTCCACAATGTCAATGCCCCAGAACTGAGGAACCTCGACCGATTCATGACAGCCCTAGGCCACCACTTTGAAGACCCCCTCGCTGATAGAAAAGCCCACAACCACATTAGAGTCGTAAAGCACAGCCGTCACCAGGTTACTGAGTACATCGAGGAATTTCGTGACCTGGCCAGCTGAATCGACTGGTCAGAAGATATCCTAGTCTGTTGGTTCAAAGATGGACTCAATGACAACCAGTATGCTGCCTGCCTGGCCCATGGGGCCCCAAACCTCCTGCATGAATGGTACCTGATGGCAGAGGAGGCGGAGATAGACATGACCCAAAACCACTACCACAATGGCAAACTTTGGAGAAGATCCCCACCCCAGGGAAAGCAGGAATTTTTCAAACCCCAAACCACCATGACCCCAAGATCAGCTGGCTGCTTTAAGTGTGGAAAAGAGGGGCACCATGCAGCAGAATGCCGTTCAAAAACCCCTGCCAGAAAGCCAGACCCCATCGGGGGAAAACCCAGAAAACCCAACCCTCGGGGAAAAGAAACTGGCCTGAGAAGCCAAGAGGCTGTGAGGTTCTGGTCCCCCAACCCAGAGGAAGAACCCCCAATGCCCTGAGGGGACCTGAGCCAGTCTGAAAGCGATCCGGAAGATGATCTGCTGGTAAGCGACCCAACTGAACCAATCACTCTTCCCCTAAGACTGTTTATCCCCAGCTGAGGGAAGGGGGAGGAAGTTGCAGCGTTACTGGATTCGGGATGCACCTGGTGCCTAATCAACCCCACCCTAGCAGAGAAAATGGGAATCTAACTAAAGAAAATGGAAAATCCCATCGCTTTTTGCCAATTAGATAGAACTATAGCGGTGGGGGGGAGCCAGCCAGTTTTGCCACAGAACCATTGAAAATAAGACTAGGGAACCATAGTGAGATGCTCACATTCATTGTAGCCCAAGGAATGGAAGGGCCACTAGTACTAGGACTCACGTGGCTATGGAAATGGAATCCAAAAATAAACTGGAAGGGAGGAACCGTACATTTCCAGAAACATGTAGCATTTGCAAACAGCCCAGAGGAAAAGAAAAGAAAGAGAACAGAGAACAGAGAACCAGCCATGGCCGGTCAGCCTGCTGAACCCCTTAACATCCCCAAGAGTACCAGGATTTAGCGCAAGAATTTAGCAAGGAGGCTTCTGATGAACTCCCACCCCATCATGCCACAGACTGCGTCATTGAAATCCTACCAGGGGCTAAACTTCCAAAACTGAAAATGAACTGCATGTCCCCCAGAGAATTAAAAGAACTCAGGGCATTTATCGATAAAAATCTACAAAGGGGTTTCTTCGAACCTACCCAACCAAAAATAGCAGCCCCAGTATTATTCCGTGAAGGGAAAGATGGCTCGGTGCATCTATGTGTTAATTACAAAAATCTTAATGCCATCAGTGTGGAAAATATGTACCTCTCTAAAGGAAAAAAAAATTCAAAGTTAGGCTTACGAGAGGCATTAGAATAAGGGAAGGGGATGAATGGAAGATGGCTTTTAACACCTCACTGGGATGCTACCAATTTAAAGTGCTCCCTTTTGGATTACAAGGAGCCCCTCCTGTGTTCATGCAATTAATTAATGGGACCCTCCATGAATTTTTGTACAAAGGGGTTCTCATTTATCTTCATGATATTTTAATCTACATTGAAACAAAAGCAGAACACATCAAATTACTCCGAGCAGTTCTCACAAAACTCCAAAATGCCAAACTATATGCAAAACTCTCTAAATGTGAATTCCACCAAGAAAAAATTGACTACCTGGGATATAGAATATACCACGAGGAAATAGAGGTGGACCCACAAAAAGTAAAAACTGTCATCGATTGGGATCCGTCCCATACTCGCAAACAACTGCAAAGCTTCCTGGGTCCAGTGCTTACAGGATGTTTTCTAAATTTTTCTGTATATTTCAATCCAAGGTTAAAAAATTTTTTTTTAAAAGATAAATTCCAAATATTTTATAAATTCAAAAAGTACAAAAATTCTGTGATGAAAGTCTAATTTTGAAAGAAGTCAAATAAAAGGTCTTCAGCCAAAGTGTGTCATGCTTCCTTATGGAAGGAATCAAAGTTATCCAAAACAATATACACCAAGGGAGAGGGGGAAAGAAAAAAAGTCCAGAAAGGGATTGAAATAAATCAGCGTTCAGCTGCTAATCCAATTTTAAAGCAAAGATAAATAAACAAGCTAAATAAATACATAAATAAATAAATTCAAAAGTGAAAGTCAAGATTCAAGGCATTGATTAAGAAAATGAACCTGATAGCAGGAACATGTATATGCCCAATGACTTTTCAATTGCTTCCAGAGGGAACTAGAATTTTCAAGACTCTCTTTCCCCACTGGATCCATGGTTATTCAAAAGTTGTCTTTGGTTATTCCTAAATGCTCCCATTCAAATGCAGCACTGCCAGAGAACCAGCATTGACAGTAAAATCAGCAAATCATGGGTAAGAGAAAAGAAAAGCTTTTACCACGCAGCAGTCATCTTGGGGAGCATAAATTGGTACTGTTCTGATCTTATGTGACTGCTCTCCTTCCCTACATTATGGGAGATAGTCACCAAATATACCAGTGCAACAAGAAGTGCAGCAAAAGAAGAATGGCATGAGCTGACTTGGGACCAGAGGCAAAGGAAATGTGCTCAAATCTTCATGGAATTGGCAATAAACATTATTCTGATCTTAGTTGCAACTGCTGTTATGATTTTGCTGCAAAATAGCCCAAAATGTAACATATTTTAAAATTTTACGACTTATCAAAATATTTAATGTATTGTTTTAATTTTTGTCTTTTAATTCCACTATTTTTCCAGTCAGAGTTGACATAAATTATCAAGTGAAAAATTCAGTGCCAATGGTGCCAAATTAACTTTCACATCAAGTAAAGCTTGATAAGAAAATTTAACTGATGGCATAAATGAGAAAACACTCTAATAACAGTACCTTTAAAATATGATTAAATCTATCAATCACTCCTATCAGCCATCCTCTCCCACTTATGACTGTATGACTGAAACTTTGTTGCTTGTATCCTTACAATTTATATTGACTGTTTCCTAGTATGATTTGTACCCTATGACTGTATTAAGTGTCGTACCTTATGATTCTTGACGAATGTATCTTTTCTTTTTATGTACAGTGAGAGCATATACACCAAGACAAATTCCTTGTATGTCTAATCATACTTGACCATTCATTCATTCATTCATCTCATTCATAGATAATAAATTCATGGGATAGTGAGCATCACAAAGGTATATTTGTATCATGATTAGGCTACGTGGGGGGACACACGCACCCTGTTTCCATTTGCCTCTTGTTAGCAACTTAAAGATTAGCTTTGTTGCTTCTGGAAGCACTGTGGTAAATATTTTATACAAATCAATATATAGAAAATAAATATGACCATGGATGGAGATCTACTATTGTTTTCTTTGTTTCTTTTCTTTTCTGATATTCCAAAATAGCAATAATTGATGTCAGGTCCATGATTTGGGTGTAAGGTGAAGAGTAAAATTATATATTTTGCTTAATGCTATGGTAATTCACTTTCTACTTCTTGCATTAATTGAAACCTACTTAGTCATCCTCTCACACAGCATCAAAACAAAAAATTTGTAGACAAGAAAAGATGTTGGAAGAAGACAATTACAACAGATTAGGAGAAACTACAGTGTGTTTTGTTGTCAAGTTTATTGGATGGGAGACCATCAGGAAGGTACGAGGGGGAGATAAGGGGATGGGAAAAGGACAGCAGTGCTAAGTGCTAAGATAGAACTTCCGTCAGACCCTCACTCCCTCTCATTATAATCTCCCTCCCTCCCTCCCCAAATATATCGGTATATAGACACCCCCTTTCACTTCCCTGATTTCAATTTTCTTTTGCTACCTCGGCCTCCTGGGCGATGAGCATGTGCATCCTGGGTGAAAGAGAAGCACTCAGAACACAGTCAGCCTGCAGGGCAAGATGGTGCCCAGGAATGCCAAGCCCCATAGAAGCTTGCCACTTCCTCTAATTGCACCTGGGGGAGGGGGTGGCCCCTCACTGACTATAGAGCATCCCCAAGGATCTAAGGCTGACCACATTCCATCCTGGATGGCCACCATCAGGTTGTAAATCAGCACTTGGTTGGCCTGAGCCGGGCTGCCGCGGGCTTGTCCTTCACTGTTTCTAGGGTGGTTCTGCAGGCCAGATATAACCACATTGTGGTCTGTATCTGGCCCCTGGGCCTTGAGTTTGACATTCCTGCAATAGAGCAAGCCAATCTAATACAACTTAATTTCTCTGTCACAATCAAAGTATGGCATCTATGTTTTTCTGTCATGTCTGGATATTATTTAATAACAAGAGCTGTGCTAATGGATTCACATAATATTAGTTCCCTTTAAAATGAAAGTTAAGTTAGTTCCAATCTGAATGCAATCAAAACTACAATGAACAATAATGATGTACAAAATCTTATTTTATCAGCACTGCAAAATATTGATTTTTATGAATTCATTGAGTATCAGGTTGAAGTCTCAAGTCTTTTGATAACTAGCGCATGCCCCTGAATCAAAGATAAATGGAATTAAACTCATTTGAATTTTGCTGCATTTTTCTTATTTTGACTTTAGTAATGATGAAAACTCATTTTCTTCAAGTTTGTCAATTTCTTCAAAAATAATTATAACTATTTTGACTTACCTCTCCTTCTCTTGGGCAGAGTCTCCCATTCTGGATATATTTGCTTTGATTCTGTCGTTTCTTTTGCCCTCCATCAGCAAATTTGCACAGCAAAGGTTCTGTTGGGGCTGTAAAGACAGGAAAACCCAGTGTGTGTTAACTATGCCTCCAAAGAAAAATTCAGCCATCCCTACCTCTTATAACCTCAAATGTTTAATGTTAATCTTTTCACCTACCCTGTGCATTTATTGAGATTTTTAGAAATAGCTTTATCAATATAGATATTCCTAACTTTTACAAGTAGGAAGAGATATAAAAGAGCATCCTTAAAAAGAATAGCAAATAATAATTTAAAAAGCTAACCAGATTACTTTATGTAGAATTGGAAAATTTGCAAAGGGCAACATTTTATATATTTAGATGCAGTATATCTTGCAATATTTAAAGTATTTATATTTACAATGCTTAATATCATGTAGATAATGGCTTTCCCTGTAACCCTCTAAAAGTTGGAGTTTAAGGAGGCAGGCTAGAAACAGTATTGGTGCTTTTAAATATTGGTGTTAAAAGAAGATTCCTGAGAATAACATGCATAGCCAAACATTCACACAAATAGATAAAATAAATCAATCCAGATTTCTCATTTGAGGCTCAAATGACCAGGCTCAAACTATCATAATAGGGTCACTTTATAAGAAGATTCTGGCTTCTTTATAATTCCATAATGCTGAGTAATGTGAAAGGAAGGAGAAAAAGAGCATAACCAGCAGCAAGATCGATGAACATGAGTACAGTGGTGATGGACACAATGTTGGAAGACTTGAAGCACCAGATTGAGAACTGATCACCACAAAGGTCACTAAGGTCTGATGCTAATTTTATTACTATTACTATTATTAATGATAATGATGATGATGATGATCATCATCATCATGATGAAGATGATGATCATGATCACGATCATTATCATTATTATAATAACAACCCCTCCGAGAAGCTTTACCCTATCATGGTTGAGCAGCTTGCATGTCCTAGTGATCCTAGGGGCTATGATGAACAGGTGCAACCATATCAGACAGGTCTTAGGTGAAGGGCCAGACAAAATTTGCTCCACAACCCATTTAAACATGGTGAATACAAGAAAAATGAAATTTACGCCGGCTGAATCGTCGCCCAGATTAACAAGGATTCCGTTGGATGCTATGGCTCCTGGGCATTCTTCGCAAAATGAGCTACAGGGCTCAGCTCCCTCTGCTAGGCAACCAGGGCATGGGGCTGACCAGCTACTGGAAGAAAAAGTGAAAAAGCGAAAAATCTGGACCAGGGAAGAAAATATCTTGATTATGGAAGCTTACTACCAATCTGAGTCAGCAAAACGTGGATTTCAAAAACAAATGTAGCAGATCTGGAAGGCAAATTGCATGGACTGTGACATCAGTGAACAAAGGTTAATGGACCAACGATGTGTGATTCTGAGCCACATTTTTTTCACTGCAACAGAATTAAGAGAAATTGAAAAGAAAGCAACTAATGGCCTGAGCCATACCAACAGAGAAAAATGATAATGTGAGTGAATTGCAGATTCAAGAACAACCTGCAGAAGAAAGAGGGGAAGAAGTTGTGGAAATTGGTGAAGATAAAGAACAAGAAAAAAGTGAAGATCAAGAAACACCAGCAGATAAAGATAAATTAGCTGAGAAAATAAAGGATCAAATGGAAGACACTGAAAGAACGCGCTTGCCAAAACTGAACCAAGTTAATCGGAAAGCACTAGCAAATGCACTGGAGAAAGTCAATGAAGCTGTGCAAACCATCCCAATTACTACATTAGCTGAAACTAATCAGCTGATGTATGCAGCAGCCTACATAACCACAAAAGAATTGGGTTTGAAAATACAAAAGAACCAAAGAGGCAAGAAAGGGAAGTCAAAGTGGAAAATTCGGGTGGAATTGAAAATTAAGAAACTACGTGGAGACTTGAGCAACCCGAAGAATCTAAGGCAAGGCCAGCTAAAGAACAAGCAGATCAAAAGCATCTTGGCTGCAAGATATGATTTGGAATGCAAGGAGATTGCTGCAGTAATTGAAGAGCTGAAGCACAGAGTTGTTGCCATTGCTGAAAAGATTAAGAGATATGAAAATTGATTAATCCAGTTTTAACAAAACTCACAGTTCAGAGCAAATCAGCACCAGTTTTATAAAAACCTGGAAAGGGAAGACGGGGTAACAACAAATGAAAAGCCTGATAAAGAAAAAGCTCTGAAATTCCAGAAGAACCTGTGGGAAAATGACAAGAAGCACAAAACAAATGCAAACTGGATGAAACAGATTGAGTCCACAATGAAAGTGCCCAAAATGGAAGATGTGAAAATAACAAATGAAATGGTTCAAAGGCAGTCAAGAAGAATAAAGAACTGGAGCGCACCTGGATCAGATGAGCTGCATGGCTTTTGGCTGAAGGCATTAACAAGGTTACATGAAAGACTTGCTGTCCAAATGAATCAAATTATAGAAATGCCTGAAAATGATGAATGGCTAACAATTGGAAAGATTTTTTTAATTCAGAAAGAGAAAGACAAAGGAAATGATCCAGGAAATTACCAACCAATTACCTGCTTGCCAACAAGCTATAAGCTTCTTATTGGCATAATTGCAAATCAAATTTATGGATGCTTGAAAAGGAAAGATCTGCTTCCAGTAGAACAGAAAGGGTGCTGCAAAACTCAAGAGGAACAAAAGACCAGCTGCTGTTTGACAAGCTAATTCTGAAGAATTCAAACAAAAATTGAACCAATCTGTTCATGGCTTGGATAGACAACAAGAAAGTGTTCGATTCAGTCCCCCACAGCTGGATTAAGAAATGCCTGGAAATCTTTGGCATCAGCAGCAACATTCGAAAATTCATGGAAATTTCAATGAATCGCTGGAAAACAAAGCTTATGGCTAATGGAGAAGAACTAGGTGTTGAAATTAAACGAGGCATCTTCCAGGGTCACTCCTATTATTTATTCTGTCAATGCTACCACTGTCAACCATTTTAAAGAAGGTGAACGGTGGATATGAACTTGCAAAGAAAGGATTGAAAATTTCACGTTTGTTGTACATGGATGATTTGAAGCTGTTTGGTAAACAAAAAGTGAACTGAATTCACTAATTGAAAGTACAAAAGAATTTAGCCAGGACATCGGCATGCACTGTGGAATTGACAAACATGCAACAATGGCAATCAAAACAGGCAAGGTCATAGAAGGTGATGGAATAGAACTTGACAATGAAGAAATGATAAAGGCAATGAAACCAGAAGCAGGCTACAAGTACTTAGGGATTTTAGAAGCCTCTGATTTAATGCATTATATAGTCAAGGAATCAACTTCAGCCAAGTAATTTCAAAGAATTCACAAGATTTTAAAGTCCAAATTGAGTGGTGGAAACATGATAAAAGCAATAAATACCTGGGCTATACTTGTGATTCAATACTCTGCAGGAATAATTGACTGGACCCAGATGGAACTGGACAATTTGGACAGAAAAACAAGGAAGCTTATGACTATGAATCATGCTTTGCATCCTAAAAGTGATGTTGATCGATTATATCTACCGAGAGCAGAGGGTAGTTGAGGTCTCCTACAAGTAAAGCAGATTGTAGAAGAAGAAAGACATGGCTTGAATGACTACATCCAGAAAAGTGAAGAGCCAATGATTAAGGGAGTACATAAAGGAGGCCTTTTGAAGACAACCAAGTCAAAAGCTGAATATAAAAAAGAAGTAATTGAGAAGCAAATTGAAAATTGGAAAAGCAAAGCTATGCATGGCCAATACCTGAAAAGTATTGAAGGCAAAGCTGACCAAAAGCTTACTTGGGATTGGTTAAAATCAGGAATACTGAAAAAAGAAAGTCAAGGCTTTATCTTGGCTGCTCAAAAACAAGCCTTAGCCACAAATTTCATGAAAGCAAAGATTCAGCATGTCACCACCAACAGCAAATGCTGCCTCTGTAATGAGAATGATGAAACAGTTGACCATTTAATCAGTGGATGCAGCAAAATTTTACAAACTGACCCCAGCCTAGTTGAAAATTACAGACCAATCTCTTTATGCTGCATCACCTGGAAAGTCATGGAATCAATTATTAACCAATCCATCATCCTCCACTTAGAAACAAACAACCTACTCTCTAATAAAAAAATTGGTTTCAGGAAAAAACTATCATGTAATCTGCAACTCTTACACTGCAAAAACATATGGACTACAGAACTCTATCAGGGCAAAGCAATGGACGCAATCTACATTGTCTTCTGTAAAGCCTTTGATTCAGTGGTACACGACAAACTACTCCTAATATTAAAATCTTACGGTATCCCTGGTCACCTGCATAACTGGATAGAAGCATTCCTGTCAAACAGACAACAAATGGTCAAAATTGGGAGCGTCCTATCAAATTCTGTACCTGTCAACAGTGGTGTCTCCCAAGGCAGTGTTCTAGGACCAACTCTTTTCATATTGTACATAAATAACCTCTGTGATCATATCAAGAGCAACTGCGTTCTCTTCGCTGATGATGTAAAACTATTCAACACCACAGACAATATTGCTACCCTTCAAAAAGACCTTGACTATGTATCAGAATGGTCAAACAATGGCAACTTCAAATCTCAACAAATAAATCCTACATATTGGCAAAAAAATAATAATCAGACAATAAAATACAGGCTGAATAGTCAAGACCTTGTTGATGATCCAAAGGATTTTGGAGTACTCATCTCTAATGATCTAAGTGCTAGAGCCCACTGTAACTGCATAGCCAAAAAGGCATTAAGAGTTGTTAACCTAATCTTACGTAGCTTTTTCTCTGGTAATATTACACTAATAACTAGAAAATACAAAACATTTGCTAGACCAATACTCGAATACAGCTCATCAGTCTGGAACCCACATTACGTATCTGACATTAACACAGTTGAGAAAGTCCAGAAATATTTCACAAGAAGAGTTCTCCACTCCTCTACTCATTGCAGAATACCTTATGCCACTAGACTCGAAATTCTAGAACTAGAAAACTTAGAACTACGCCGCCTTCAGTCCAATCTAAGTATAGTATATAAAATCATACATTGCAATGTCCTACCTG